ACTTTTGAGAAAACTATGACAATATTAAAATATTTATCTGGCTATCAGGCAGAAAAGGAGATAAAAGAAACACCTAAATTACATCATAATTATTTAAATAATAAAGTGCAAACCAAAAGTTATAGGAATCTATATATATAATCCTCAAAAAATGTCAATCAAATTTAGCCAATAGTTTTCTTTTAAATATTATTTGTCCAATCAAAATGATTATAGCAGTCACAGTCACAACTGTGACATTATATAGTCAATTATTTTACCTGATAATAGTCAATTATAATTTTGTTAATATATTATGTAATATTCAACTTCTTTATTAATTATTGGACGTATATCCTACTTAAATAGGGAGTGATTCTTAATAATATTTAATTAATATTAACAAATTCGGAAGTATTTAAGTTATGTTAAATTGTAGTTTTAATCTCCATGATATTTAGCGCCATCTATAATATTATATTTTATTTTAAATAGCATTATATTTCTAAGTTGAAATGTAAATATTTTGTTTTAATTGATGTCAAATATATTGTTCTTTCTATATATCTATAATTTATCTATCTATCTATCATAGCAGTTTTAAGCCAATTAAGATCAAATTAGCAAAATGGATTTAATCTCCTAAAAATCATGGAAAGCATTTCAGAAGTATTTTGAGGCAATAGGCAGGAAGGAACATTAGTATGAAAAAAATGTTTGCAGATAATCCTACAAGAGCTAAGGAATTCAAATCTATAATATATATATTCAATAAAAATCATCATAGCTTAAACATATCAAACACGCATTCATAAACCAAATCGAACCGCCATTTTCAAAAAAAGAATTTCAATACAAAAAACAATTACAAAACATATAATAATATAATAATTACAATAATTGATATTTTTTTTAACAGACACAACATCGAGCAAAACCATCAGTAAATAATTATATTTTTTAACAGACACCACATCGAGCAAAACCATATACTTTCAATTTACACATCTTAATCTTGAAGATACTGAAAAATTACATAAACTTACGTTTGCTCTGAGCATTTTATTTTATATTTGAAAATTCATTTATCTATTCTATTTTACCCACGTTAAGTGGCAGATTTAGGGAAGTTAAAATTTTTATAAATACTATTTTTTAGATTCCTGCACAAAAAACAAACTTACATAATAAATACATATAATATTAGATAAGTTTTTTAAGGTTATCTCATAGGCAATGTAAGTTAAAATTTTTATAAATATTATTTTTTTAGATTCCTGCACAAAAAACAAAAATACATAATAAATACATATAATATTAAATAAGTTTTTTAAGGTTATAGGCAATGTAAGTTAAAATTTTTATAAATACTATTTTTTTAGATTCCTGTACAAAAAACAAACTTACATAATAAATACATATATTAAATAAGTTTTTTAAGGTTATTTCATAGGCAATGTAATTTAAATTTTTTATAAATACTATTTTTTTAGATTCCTGCACAAAATACAAACTTACATAATAAATCATATAATATTAAATAAGTTTTTTAAGGTTATCCATAGGCAATGTAAGTTAAAATTTTTATAAATACTATTTTATTATTTTTTTTAGATTCCTACACAAGATATATTCAACAAAACCAAACAATGGAACGTTTCATACTACCAAAATCTAAAGAAGGCATTATTGCTTCAATAAGAGTAAATTTTATATTTTTAAGATGTGATTCCGAAATACATATTTATTAGGTGAGGGGCTATTCTAATATTTTCCATTATTTTTTATAAATATGTTTATGAAGTATATATTTAGTAATTTTATTTTATGTCCACAATAATAAATATTTTAAACTAAACTTATTTTTATAAAATTGAGTAATTCTTATATTTTTAAATTTTAATAATAAATCAACATAAGGAGAAAGCTAGAAAGAGACAGGCACTTTGTCGTATCAAGAAAAGGAACGAGCAAAGTCTTATTCCTACAACATCCAACCATCTTGAAGATACTGGAAATAAACAATTTGCTTCAACATCCAATCATCTTGAAGATACTGAAAATCAAGAACAAGTTGAACATTACTGTGGGCCATTAAAATCTATTTTATTATTTTTTTTAGATTCCTACACAAGATACCTTTGGTGCAATATCTAAGTATAATTTTTTCAGTGATCCTATATCAATAAAAACAAATCAAGTTAAAAATTTTAATTTATGACAATAAATAAATTTATTTAAATTAGATTCCACGGATCATATTGCCGAAATGTGCCATTCAACGGACTCTTAATCTACCCAAATCAATAAAAACAAACGAAGTTAAAAAATTTAATTTATGTTATCAAATAGATTTTTTTAAAATTAGATTCCACGATATATATTACCGAAATGTACCATACAGCAGAATCTTAATCTACCAAAATCAATCAAAATAAACCAAGTTAAAAATTTTAATTTATGTTAACAAATAAATTTATTTAAATTAGATTCTACGAATCATATTACCGAAATGTACCATTCAACAGAATCTTAATCTACCCAAATCAATAGAAACAAACGAAGTTAAAAATTTTAATTTATGTTAACAAATAAATTTTTTTAAATTAGACACTACCAAAATCTACTATTCACCAAAATCTTAATTTACCCAAATCAATAAAAACAAACCAAGTTAAAAATTTTAATTTATGTATAACAAATATTTTAATAAATATAAATTTCTGAATCACATCTCATAAGATAGATAAGAAAATTTTTAATTTATCCATCATCAGGGGTTATTCAAAATTTATTATTTATTTATGAAGTATATGGTTATTAATTTTAATTTATGTCCACAATAAAAAATATATTTCATCAACTAATAAAAAAGAAAATTCTTATTTCACTATCATCTTGACGGGCAAAATATAAGATAAAATAAGTATGTGCTACATAATCGTAATTACCCATGGAATATTTTAGAAAAAATTATTATAAGCCTGGCATATGTTTACATCAGAGCCGGTGTATTGATTGTGAAATCAATACCCATTGTAACTTCAATACCGTATTGATATCATTATAGATTCAATACCGTAGTGATATATTGCTATTGTAGAATCAATACCGTATAGATTTTTAAGATGTTTGCATCGCTTCAAATATATTGGCGACCATTAAAATTATAAAATATTTATTTATTATATATTTTTTCATCGCTTTATAAATATTGGCGGCCATTTTCGATTTGTAAAAATTTTATTTAAAATAGATTTAATAGTTTTAAATATATTAAAATGATAAATATGATTTTCTATTCTTTTATATAATTTATCAGGGAATTTATTTATTTTACAATTCTTGATATCCTATATATTTTATATTTGTTTACTCATTATTTGTAATTTGTGAAGTGCTATATAATTGTTAAAGTTTTATAAATGATATTATGAATTCAAATAAATTAAATGGACTTTATTGATTGAGTTTATAAAATTTTGTGATTCATATATAAATGTCGAATCAAAGATTTATAAAATCAATAACGTATTGATTTTTGATGGTATTGATTTTACAATTACACCGGGTCTGCATGTCTCTGAATAATCACAAAAATATTAAATTATATGTATAATTTTTAGCAGGCCTCAAATTTAATTTATTTATTTTAGATAAATATTTCTGCACAACAATCAGTACAAGAACATTATTGTGGATTACTCAACACTAAGTGCGATTATTGCGATTCTCTAAATTTTTTATTGGAAAAACCCACAGATGGCAAATTTAAGAATTGCTGTCATAAGGGTAAAGTTAAGATACCATCAATCCGATATATTCCTTTTTTACAAGACCTTTTATCTAATCCTAACAATGAATTTCATTCAAACTTTATGAAATATATAAAATCTTATAATAGTTCACTTGCGTTCGCATCCATGGGAGCACAGATTTCTAATAGTTTAAACCCAGGCCCATATTGTTTTAGAGTTCATGGGCAAATTTATCACCGAACATCTCATTTATATCCTTCATCTAGGATGCCTCCTAAATTTGCACAACTATATGTCCTTGAGACCACCCAGGCTGTTAATGGCAGGTTACACATGAAAAAAAATTCTGGTTGCAATGAGGATCTCTTAAAAAGATTAGATATTTTAATAAGACAGAATAACCCATTTTCTATTAGTTTTAAAACCTTGGGAGAAATTGAGAAAGAAGAAAAAAATAGGGCTATTCAAGAAAATCGTCCAGTTCAAAAAATCAATATGATTTTTCGTGCAGATCGCTCAAGTGACAAGCGAAGATATAACATTCCTAATATAGATGAAGTAGCTATGATTTTTACAAATGATGATGGTGAACCCCCATTTAAACGGGATATCAAGGTCTATCCTCGAGTTGATGGTAGTGATCTGATAAATATAAATATATTAAGCCCTAATCTTGATCCAATGGTATATCCTCTATTATTTCCTTTTGGTGACCCTGGTTGGAAACCAGATTTAAAGGGTGAAGATACAGGGCGTACAAGGGCAAATATCTCACTACTACAGTTTAAAATATTTAGATTAGCAATTCGTGAAAATGAATTCAACCCAATCCTTTTTGCTGGGAAATTATCACAACAATATATTGTTGATTCTTATTTACAGGTCGAGGCGAATAATTTAAATTTTATTAGACAAAATCAGCCAAAATTACGAGTAGATGAATATTCTGGATTAATGGACTGCTTGGAAACAAAGTCAAACAATATAATTCCCGGCAAAGCAGTAATATTACCATCATCTTTTCAAGGTTCTCAAAGAAATATGCGAGAACGCTATCACGATGCAATGGCTATTGTGCTCAAATTTGGCAAACCTGATTTGTTTATTACTTTTACATGCAATCCTAATTGGCGTGAAATTAAGGAAAATCTATTTCCCGGGCAAAGTCCTACAGATGGACCAGATTTAATAGCCCGTGTTTTTAAATAGAAATTAAATGAATTATTGTTCGATATAAATAAAATAAATTTATTTGGTAAATCTATGGCTTTTATATATACAATCGAGTTCCAAAAAAGAGGTTTGCCTCATGCCCATATACTTATTATTTTAAACGATGATAGCAAAATTGAAACATCTCAAGCTATAGATAAATTTGTTTGTGCCGAAATGCCAGATAAAATTCTCGATCCTAAACTTTTTCAGATTGTTACCCATTTTATGATACATGGTCCTTGCGAGATATTTAACCCCAAATCGCCTTGCATGGAAAATGGCATATGTACCAAAAAACTTCCGAAGGATTTTCAAATGGAAACAAGACCAAATATTGATGGGTATCCATATTATAAAAGGCGAGATAATGGTATTACAATTCTTTCCGGTAAACCTACGGATAATAGTTATGTTATTCCATATAATCGATATCTAATGTTAAAATTCAATGCTCATATTAACGTGGAAATTTGTACATCTATTAATCGGTAAAATATATCTTTAAGTATATTTATAAGGGCTATGACTGTACTAATGTTGACATTAATGTTGCTTCAAATATAAATATTCATGACGAAATTAAATCACATTTAAATGCGCGATATGTGATTGCATGTGAATCAATGTGGAGATTATTAGAAAATAATATGCATGACCGCTCGCACGCTGTTATTCGCTTAGGAATTCATTTACCTTTACAACAGCCAGTATATTTCACTGCTGGACATGAAAGATATGCTTTATTGAGATCAGAAAATAAACATACTACTTTAACGGCATGGTTTGAGTTAAATAAGACAGATCTAAATGCTAGACAATATCTTTATGGGGAAATACCTTATCATTATGTGTTTAAAAATTACCATTGGAAACTAAGAAAAAAACGATTAAATGTGATTTCGAGAATGTATTCCGTTCATCCTAATTCTGGTGAACGATTCTTCCTTCGATTATTATTACTTCATGTTTGCGGGGCTACAAGTTTTGATTATTTAAAAACTATTAATGGAATTTTAATGAGTACTTTTAAAGAGGCAGCTATTAAAAGAAATTTGTTATCAGATGATAAAGAGTGGAAGTCATGCTTAGAAGAGGGATCAATATATCAAATGCCGTCACAACTTCGGAGTACTTTTGCCTTTATCTGCATTTTTTGTCAGCCTGAAAATCCTGCATATCTATGGAATAGGTTCAGATTTATGATGATTGAAGATTATTTGCGTCAATATTCAGAAGTAATTGCAATAAACATGGCTTTAATGGACATTGAAAACGTTTTTCTTGATCATGGTTTATGCTGTCAAAGTTTTGATCTTCCTTCACCTACAAAAATCCCCCCAAAACAACATTATGATGCCCATGTTGAAGCTGCCGATTCAATCAGCGTATATCTAAATTAAACCGATTACAAAAATATGCTTTTGATTTAATTATACAAGCGATTGAATTAGAAAATATTCCAGAAAGATATTTCTTCGTGGATGGCCCTGGAAGTTCAGGTAAAACGTATCTTTACAATACCTTAATGTGTTATATAAGAGCAAAAAATCAAATTGTATTGCCTTTTGCAACCACCGGCATATCCTCTATTCTTTTAAAGGGGGAAGAACCATCCATAGCGGATTTAAATTACCTGTGCCTATCTTTGAAACTTCTACATCCCATATGAATTTACATAGTTCGCTAGCTCTAGATATTAAAAATAGCAAATTGATTATTATTGATGAGGCCACAATGATGACTAAACACGCTTTGCGATGCATTGACCGATAACTTAAAGACATTATGAAAAATTCCCACCAATTTGGCGGAAAAGTAATTTTATTAGGTGGTGATTTTAGACAGACTTTACCAGTAGTGCCTAAAGGCTCCAAAGTCGATATTATAGAGTCCTCTATAAAAAGTTCATATTTATGGATTCATTTTAAAATAATACATTTGATTGATAATATGCGTATTTCATCAGATCAAGTTGATTACAATGCTTGGTTACTTAAAATTGGAGATGGGCTATCACGCAGCAATTCTGATCTTCCTACAAATAGTGTTGAAATCCCACCTTATTTTCTTGAAAATGATTCATTAATAAAATGTGTGTATGGTAATTCTATAGAAATTGCTGATATAGATAGTCTTTCTACTAAAATAATATTAACCACCAAAAATAAAATTGCACTTACCCTCAACAACGATATCATTAATATAATTTCAGGCCCTATCAAACATTATTATAGTGCAGATTCCATTGAAAGGGATAATAAAGATGATATGATGAATTTTCCACTAGAATTTTTGCATTCACAAACTCCATCCGGTATGCCACCTCACAAGCTAACACTTAAGGTTGGTACAATTGTTATGCTATTACGCAACTTGAGCCCAAAGAAAGGACTTTGTAATGGTACCCGTTTAATCATACGACATTTACATATTAATTTTATCGACGCTGAGGTATTGACAGGCACTAATAAGGGTTATCGAGTTTTTCTCCCACGAATAGATCTAGCTCCAAGTGACTCTCAGTTACCATTTACTTTAAAAAGACGACAGTTTCCTATAATTCCCGCTTTTGTGATTACAATAAATAAAAGTCAAGGACAAACTTTTGATCATGTAGGCTTATTCCTCCCTGAGCCCGTCTTTGCCCATGGACAACTATATGTGGCTCTTACTAGATGTAAATCTCAAAATAATATGAAAATTATGAGTTTGCCATCAGAATTACAAGGAAAAATGTTAAAAAATGATAAAACATTCACACAAAATATCGTATATAATGAAATCGTAAATTCATAATTTGTAAGAAATTTAAAAAAGTCACCAACTTTGTTATTCACCATCAAATCACCAACTTTACATCATCTTCAAAAACTAAACCACCTTGAGCAAAGAAAAGAGAACTTCTTCACCATCGCTAAACCATCTTCCTCACCAAAAACAGTATATTCTATTTTATAATTTCATTTTACACGTTTTATTTAAGGTTATTTACAGCAAACTACGAGCATGAAAATCACAACATCATCTTCAAAAACGAAACTACATTGAGCAAAAAAAAGAGAACTTCTTCACCATCGCTACCAACAACAGTATATTCTATTTTATAATTTCAATTTCCACGTTTTATTTCAGGTTATTTACAGCAAACTACGAGCAAGAAAATCACAACATCATCTTCAAAAACGAAACCACCTTGAGCAAAGAAAAGAGAACTTCTTCACCATCGCTAAACCATCTTCCTCACCAACAACAGTATATTCTATTTTATAATTTCAATTTACACGTTTTATTTCAGGTTATTTACGGCAAACTACGAACAAGGAAATCACAACATCATCTTCAAAAACGAAACCACCTTGAGCAAAGAAAAGAGAACTTCTTCACCATCGCTACCAACAACAGTATATTCTATTTTATAATTTCAATTTCCACGTTTTATTTCAGGTTATTTACAGCAAACTACGAGCAAGAAAATCACAACATCATCTTCAAAAACGAAACCACCTTGAGCAAAAAAAGAACTTCTTCACCATCGCTAAACCATCTTCCTCACCAACAACAGTATATTCTATTTAATTTCAATTTACACGTTTTATTTCAGGTTATTTACGGCAAACTACGAGCAAGGAAATCACAACATCATCTTCAAAAACGAAACCACCTTGAGCAAAGAAAAGAGAACTTCTTCACCATCGCTAAACCATCTTCCTCACCAACAACAGTATATTCTATTTAATTTCAATTTACACGTTTTATTTCAGGTTATTTACGGCAAACTACGAGCAAGGAAATCACAACATCATCTTCAAAAACGAAACCACCTTGAGCAAAGAAAAGAGAACTTCTTCACCATCGCTAAACCATCTTCCTCACCAACAACAGTATATTCTATTTTATAATTTCAATTTACACGTTTTATTTCAGGTTATTTACGGCAAACTACGAACAAGGAAATCACAACATCATCTTCAAAAACGAAACCACCTTGAGCAAAGAAAAGAGAACTTCTTCACCATCGCTACCAACAACAGTATATTCTATTTTATAATTTCAATTTCCACGTTTTATTTCAGGTTATTTACAGCAAACTACGAGCAAGAAAATCACAACATCATCTTCAAAAACGAAACCACCTTGAGCAAAAAAAGAACTTCTTCACCATCGCTAAACCATCTTCCTCACCAACAACAGTATATTCTATTTAATTTCAATTTACACGTTTTATTTCAGGTTATTTACGGCAAACTACGAGCAAGGAAATCACAACATCATCTTCAAAAACGAAACCACCTTGAGCAAAGAAAAGAGAACTTCTTCACCATCGCTAAACCATCTTCCTCACCAACAACAGTATATTCTATTTTATAATTTCAATTTACACGTTTTATTTCAGGTTATTTACGGCAAACTACGAACAAGGAAATCACAACATCATCTTCAAAAACGAAACCACCTTGAGCAAAGAAAAGAGAACTTCTTCACCATCGCTACCAACAACAGTATATTCTATTTTATAATTTCAATTTCCACGTTTTATTTCAGGTTATTTACAGCAAACTACGAGCAAGAAAATCACAACATCATCTTCAAAAACGAAACCACCTTGAGCAAAGAAAAGAGAACTTCTTCACCATCGCTAAACCATCTTCCTCACCAACAACAGTATATTCTATTTAATTTCAATTTACACGTTTTATTTCAGGTTATTTACGGCAAACTACGAGCAAGGAAATCACAACATCATCTTCAAATACGAAACCACCTTGAGCAAAGAAAAGAGAACTTCTTCACCATCGCTAAACCATCTTCCTCACCAACAACAGTATATTCTATTTTATAATTTCAATTTACACGTTTTATTTCAGGTTATTTACGGCAAACTACGAACAAGGAAATCACAACATCATCTTCAAAAACGAAACCACCTTGAGTAAAGAAAAGAGAACTTCTTCACCATCGCTAAACCATCTTCCTCACCAACAACAGTATATTCTATTTTATAATTTCAATTTACACGTTTTATTTCAGGTTATTTACGGCAAACTACGAGCAAGGAAATCACAACATCATCTTCAAATACGAAACCACCTTGAGCAAAGAAAAGAGAACTTCTTCACCATCGCTAAACCATCTTCCTCACCAACAACAGTATATTCTATTTTATAATTTCAATTTACACGTTTTATTTCAGGTTATTTACGGCAAACTACGAACAAGGAAATCACAACATCATCTTCAAAAACGAAACCACCTTGAGTAAAGAAAAGAGAACTTCTTCACCATCGCTAAACCATCTTCCTCACCAACAACAGTATATTCTATTAAATTTCAATTTACACGTTTTTTTTCAGATTATTTACGACAAACTACGAGCAAGGAAATCACAACATCATCTTCAAAAACGAAACCACCTTGAGCAAAGAAAAGAGATTAATCTCCTTTTTTAGGTAAAATTTTCTATATTATAAAATTTATTATATTATATTTTTTATATGGCTACAAATGCATATGTGTTGTAACCCGATAATCATCAACTCTTGAAGTATAAATATTTATTATATTTTCTTATAATTCATATCTTTATCTCTTTTTTTCTATTTCTTCCTTCTTATTTTCATTCTTTTTTTCATTTCTTTGCTCCCCTAAAATCCATCTCCTACCTTCACGCGGTGGGGAGTGAACAGTAATTCTGACTAACAGGAGCTCTGGTAAATAATGTTAGTATTTAGGGTGCTAATAAGAGATATTGTTTCATTTTTGTAATTTAAAATATAAATTTCGAAATCACATCTCATAAAAAGGAAAATGTCTGATTCATCCATCATCAAATAAAGGTAAAATATATTATTCATCAATCATTGAATAAAAAAGACAATTCCTCTCTCTTAGTTTTAATGGGTTGGAATTGGCCTGAAGTAGGAGGGGGAGGGGTAAAAAGAATTATCGTAAAAGAACGAATAAAATTCTCATCCCCGTCATTTTTGACGGGTTATCAACTAGTAATTATAATAAACATTATGAGTGTAAAAATTGTAACGAAAGACATTACAATAATAAGGAATAAAATAATTTAGCGAGATTTAACAATAGAAATAATAATCATAATATCAATTACAATAAGTATCGATATAATAATGATAATAATTATAAATACAATAGTATAAAAAATAATAAAGTAAAAGTAAAAAAACCAATCAATATAAAAATAGAAGTAAAAAAACCAATAGTGAAGGATAAGCCAATTGATGTAGAAATAGTATATAGTTCTTATATCGTAGTGATATTAATAGTAAGTCGTATGAAGAGTGGAAAACGACTAATGAGTTTAACAAGAGACAATTTTGTAGAATTAACGCAGAAAAAGTAGACATTTATAAAACAAAAATTGTAGAAAAGTTAGAAATTAAAACTAAAAATTTTGAAATTACGTCGGTAAAAATATTAAAAAATGATATAGTAGAAACGTTTATATGTAGTTATATTAATCACATAGTAAAATTTGAAGAAATAATAATAAAAGAGAAAAAATGTTATAATATAAATAATTTAATTAATATTGATAAAGATTCTAGGAAATGCAAAAATTTTAAAAAAGTAAAAAATATTACGTGTAAAAGTAGGAATAATGTTAAAAGAAATAGGAGTAGTGTTAGGAGAAAGGATGACAAAATTAAAATTGAACATATAAAAGAATTCTTAATGAAGGAGAGAATAAAATTGTTGAGAATAAAATTTATTTTTAAAAGTTTGAAATTTGATTTTAAGGAAATTTTTATAAAAAATTTTATTAAACTAAAGAATAAAGGAGTTAAATTCAAATTAAAATAAAAAGAATAAAAAAAGTACGTAATATAAAATTTTAATTACTTCATGGATCAAAATTATTAATATAACATGTAAATTAATACTATAATATAAAAAATTTAAACAATACTAAAACGCGATTCTATAATCAACATTTTATGATGATTCTTATATTCTTATATTCGATATTGGATCGATTCTTATTATTTTTAATTATTCTTGATTGACTAATAATAATGATAATAATAACGATGGAGGGCAAACGAGCAATCAAACAAATAACAAAGAGACGAAACGATCATAACAAACCAAGTAATGAAAACAAGCCAACGATAAAACGTGACAAAAGCAAGACAACGATAAAAGATGAAATCAACAATTACTTATGCAACAATAAAAACATAGCGAAAATGACAAACTAATCGTACAACGGACGAACGAGTTTTAGAGGGGGAAGAAGTCAATAAAATCGAGATAAAAATCTTAGTGTCAACTTCAACATACGATACGATCGATAGATACAATGAAGGGGGAAACTAAAAGAGAGGGAAATGTTGTATTAGGAAAATTATCTAAATTTAAATTAACTTTGAAATTGTAACTTTTAAAATTGTATAAATTATCACTGTGGGATATTAAAGATAAAAGGTTATAAATTTGAACATTAACTTTAAAGTATATTGTGATTATGACTTTAGGTTGTTAAAGTTTAATTTGTTTTTATAGATATATACAGTCGTGTTTTTTGTTAATTATTAGAGTTAGTTGTAATATTATGTAATAAAATAAATATTGAATAAAATACGTTACTCGTTTTCAAGTTGTAAATTTATCGAAACAAATGTCTTAAAATATATAAAAATTCACTTAAAT